CTTTGAATCTTCTTAATTTATTTATCCAGGCTGTTGTATCACTCACTCCCCACTTCGTATGATTTAACACTCGTTGCAAAATTCTTACGCTTCTGCGTTCGAAGTGCCGGATTTGTGTCAACCCATCAAACCGCCGATAAGTATAGTTCGAAAATTCTCCTCTATCGCGCGGCTGCTGCTTGGCCATGTTTATATCTGGCCTAAATTCCTCTGAAATACTTAAAACAATTAAAAACCTTGAACAACAAAGACATATAAACATTGACAGACATGCTCGTTTGCGAATGCAGCATCAATGGAAAACGATGGGAACCGTGATAAAGCATTAAACGACATGCACGAATAACTTTACGCTCAATGTTATCAACAATACTATTATGCATTTGAAGAACATGACTAAATGTCAGATCCAGTCAGCACAACGACCGAAAGAAGCATAAGGCAGAGAGACTTCGCACTAACTTTTCACGGACTGTCTCGAAAAAGTGTCTCGCAATCTCATAAAGAAAGATGCTTCGAACACCAACGACGAACAAATAAGCCGCTTATGCTTCGTAGATGATACAATTCTCATTGCGAGCAGCACTCGTGAAGTGAGATGCTGCGTGAGTTTAACACATGAAACAAGAAAGTGGACCTAAAAACCAACGCAGAGAAAACGATGATGCAAAGTATCCATGTGCCGGAAACCAGAGTGAAAAGGGTGTTTATATCCTGCCCAGGAAATAAATACAAGCTAGAATTTGCAGTAAGAATCTGCACACAGAACTCTCAGTTAGTATAAACATCATAGCATTTTTAACAGCCTAAAAATGCTGAACCGGAAGAGGGGTGCCCGCCTCTTCAATACCACTGTTATGAGGGTAATGACGTACGGATGAAAACGTGATCACTGATCAAAGCAGAAAAACGAGCGATGGCAGGAACAGAAAAAGCGCCAGAGTGGAGGATGTTTCGGTTTTTCATTTCGTAACCGAATAAGTAACCAGACGTTCCGTTACTTCAGCGACTTGCAAGATATCACTTCAACCACTAAAATCCCATAGACAGGACATGATGATCGCCTTATTAACAACCAGCGGATGTCTCCTATCAATTAAAGCGGTAAACACAAAAAAAAGGGAGGAACCGGGTGTCTAAGGAAGTGATGGAGCGCACATATCGAAGATGCGGTGGGCAACAAATGAAGACATGATCTGGTACAGCTCTGTCCATATGTGAAGACTTCCCGATAACGTTACCAACACCGGATTATCACACCGATTGTTCAGATCGTCTTAATTACGGAACTGTTAAAAAAGTACTCACGAATGCGCAAATCGGCATCCGGAAAATCATCAAAATTAGAAGTATCATCAATGCTCTTCACTTGAACACGAATCGGTGCCGGACATCTCCTGTAATGCAACATTTTGATGTGTCTCTCTCTCGCCCTCAGAGTCTCCAAAGCAGTCAAGTATACCGAAATATAATCATATTGGGATACCAAAGAGAAATTTACTGGAATACCACGAATTCATCCATTGCTCTCTGTAAGTCATCCTAATCAGAATGACAGTAGCTTTTCAACACTAAAAAGGGCAATTTCCATTACACCTTCTTATTTTCTTTGCCCATCATTTCGAATATAACATATTTGACGTTGTAGCACTAAACGTAGTAATTCTGGTTCACTCTTTTCACATTCTGGTTGGGCGCCTCAGAGATGATTTCAATTGTAATTTTAGTTTTAGATAATGTGTATTTATGTAAAAAGTAAGGGTTAAAAGGGATAAAAGAAAGGTGAATAAGCTAAATCGGCATAAAAAACCTGAATAGGAATGTTTAGGTCTTTTTGTCTAAGTTTTGAGCCTCATAATTCTGATGCACAGAGAGGCGCAAAAGGAAAGACAGAAAAGAATTGGCCGGCGCACCGGTGCGAAGAGGCATTTTTTATATAGTTCCTCGCAGGTTTTTTTCGCTAACGGCAATGTTTTCCCCAGCAGATGCCTCTAGTTAAAGAAATTGAGGCTGGCCGTCACGATTGTTAGAAAACATCCATTTAAAATTTCAGCTTTATAGTTTTCTGGTTCCCGAGTTAGCAACTTATCCACCAAGAATTTTCACGTGCCCGTACGTAAGGACCACGTGGGCATGAGCGCCCATTTCGGGCATAAGGATCCGTACAAGCGTGTAGACTAAGCTGCCAAAGTTTCGGCCTTGCAGATTTTGTAGGTCTCGAGATGAAAACTCAGTACAGGCGCGAGCGCACACGCATAAAGACAACCCTTTGACAATATGCACTTTCGCATTGCACAGATGCAAAAAAAGGGGAAAAATTCGTGATGGAGCATACGATCCGGAACAACACCACCGTCTTTCGTTGATTCAGAACCGTGTCGCTTTCTTTTTCCTCTACGTCGTCACCTCTAAACTATCGTCAAGTCTGCGTCCGGACCCGTAACATGGTGTAAGCCTATAATCCAATTTTTCGACTTTTTTTCTTTCACTTGGATGATCTTCCAACCAAGACAATACGGAGGACAAGAAGTTGGTTGTCATCTACAGTGACAAACAAATCAGAATGTTAACAGATAACTCAATTAAATCCCAAGCTAAATACCTTACCGGATGTTAACCCAATCGATTCCCTTGAAAAACGGACAGCTTTTCAATTCTTCAACACCACCACAGTGACCCAAGCGGTGCTCTGCTTCCGAACAGAATTTTTTTATAGTCTGAAAAACTTTCACATTGAGCAAATGAAAAATGGACACATCGTCAAAGAAAAACAATTGATGGAATTAAACATACTGCTTTTGCGTCCACTGAAATAGGCATTTCTGGAGGAAACAGCAATGTCTGCTTCCAGTTGATAACTTTTCGATAGGTTTCCTGCGGTGTTTCCGAGCAGAAAGGTGGATAACCTAGGATTTTTTTTCCGTGAAGATTATGCAGGTTCATGGATGTTTCGAAGAGACTTTTGCTGCAAGTTCTAGCAAAAAATAATTCAAGAAAATTACAGTTTTTGTCCTTCTACCAACCTTTACATGAAGGTTCTAGTGCAGTCAGTAGTGGTCAGGTAAAATGTGCTCAACATAAAACTATGCCAGGCAACACAACCGTGAATTGTATTTATTCATGTATTTTCGGATGCTAAACGATTGAACTTTCCACCCGCTAATTTGGCAATGCAAGTGTTTAGGTTGCATGACCTATCCGTGGCTTAAAAGAGAGAGAACTCAGAAGTATCAAAGAAGTTCCACTCTTGGCACCCTTTAATTGCCCTGTAGTTTCAAAGGCTCTTTCTTGCAATGCAAAATAAGCTTTGCCAGAGTTTATGTGATAAGAGGCACTAACCTATCAGCATTTCGTACATAATGACGCCAAGCGACCACCAATCACAAGCCTTCGTATAGCCATTCGGCTGGAAAATTTCCGGAGCAATATAATCAGGTGTGCCAACTGTCGAGTAGGCCTGCAAAGCACACATGAGAAAAAGGTAGTGGGCATCATCCAGGTAACAAAATCATCCCTTCCAGAAGTTAGGGCGAAAGCGCATGCAAAATCGATCCTACTTCACTTTATGCATCAGAACTAGTGCAATTCCGGCTTGTAAACACTGTCTTTGCGACACTATGTTATCAGTTTGAATTCGACCCGACATAACAGCCGAAAAGAAGAGGCCAAGATGTCGCAGAAAGGAAGCACAGTGCAAATGTGAACAGGACCAATGAATTTCAAAAATAAAATGAATTTTTTTTTTTTTCAGAAATCTGCATACGATAGCACGGCGATTTCTTTTCCACGTCTCCGCTTTGCGTTTCTCGAACGGCTTGGTCACAAAATCCTTTGGCAACTGACATGGCCAATTTCGGTAGTATTCGGTGCGATGCGCCTTCTTCAATCCGGTACATAAGCCAAAATCCGAAAGTTTTAAATGCCCCTAAAACTAGATTCTCTTAATGATACGACTGCTACCATCAATGACTTTTTCGATTTCACAAATTTTTCTTTGTTCAGAAAACAGTGCAAGCAAAATGAAAGCAAGCTTGGCTAAATCCGTGTCTCAATTTTTCAATACTTTAACTGTTACTAACAGTTTCATTGCTGAGATACTAAGTGCGAAAGCAAAATGATGAGGCAGCGAATTATAAAAACTAATACAAATACCATCAAAAGTACTTAGCTAAAAATAAATAGCGGCGCGCACCAGAGCAGCCGGTGCGAAGATGCATTTTTTGCATAGTTCCCCGCAGGTTTTCGTCCCTAATGGCAGATGCTTCTAGCTAAAAGAATTCAGACAGAACTGTCAGGAAACATCCCCTTAAAATTCCAGGTTAAAATTCAAGGTTAGCAACTTACCCGGCAAAAACCTTCCCGCGCCCGTAAGTGGGGACCACGCATACCCGGGGACTGGGTTTGAGCCCACTAATACCCGCTTGGGCGGGGAACATTACCCCAAGATTTCGGCGCCCTAGCTTCTCAGATCCTCGAGTTACGAACTGACCCCAAAAAAACTTTGGCGGGCCCGTACGCGGG